CAGAATAATTGAAATTATATTTAAATTTTTAATAAAAATATATCATTTTATAAATACTATTTTTGAAAAAAAAATATCATATAATTTTTTTTTTGTTATATCCCATTTTAAATGCAGCTTTATCTAAGACACCGTTTATGAACTTATGACTATCTTCAGAACCAAACAATTTAGCTAATTCAATTCCTTCATTAATAGATACTTTATAAGGTATATCACTTCTTTTATATAATTCATAGAATGAAATTCTAAGAATTGCTTTTTCAATTTGTCCTAGCTCTTTTAACGATCTAAATAAATAAGGTTTCATTAAATTATCTATATTTTTACAATCACATGTAATTCCAATGATTAATTCATAAAAATATATGATGTCAATATTTTTTTTATTTCTTTCTTTTAGAAATTCCACAGCACTTTCTTTAATATTATTATGAGATATTTCCCAAGAATATAACATTTGTAAGGCACATGCACGAGCTTTCCTACGACAAGATGGTTTCATAAATAAAATGTCTCTTGATTATATAATTTTAGTTTTTTTGAGAAGATAATATTAATCTTACATCCGGACCTATTTGAGAAATATCTTCAAATTTAAATAGAAGAGAATCAAGTAATTTTAATTTATTATCAAGTATACATAATGGTTTTGCTTCATGTCCTAAAATTTTAGGTGCTATGTATATAATTAGTTCATCAATTAAATTTTCATTTAATAAAAAACCAGAAAGTATACTTCCTGCTTCTATCCATACATTATTAATTTCATGTTTTCCTAATAATTTTAAAACAGAGACAATATGAATTTTTTTATTTTCTTCTTTTGTGATAATTTGACTGATATTTTTAGGCCATAAATATTGATCTAATTTTCGTCGCATCAACCAAATTTTGCCTTCAGTTTTAACTATTTTATGTGATGGTGTAATACGATTTTTGCTATCTATAATTACTCTTATTGGATGTTGAAATATTTTTTTTGGGAAAATAGATAATGTTTTTTTATCAAATTCTTCATAGCGTATATTTAATAAAGAATCGTCGGCCAAAACAGTAGAACTACTACTTAAAATTACTGAACTTTTTGATCGGAATACTTGAACGTCTTGACGTGCATATTTTGAAGTAATCCATTTGCTTTCACCATTTTTCATGGCTATTCTTCCGTCTACCGACATTGCTAATTTAAGTTGTATTCATGGTAATCCGGTTTTCATTCTTTTAAAAAATCCTTTATTGCATTTTTGAGATTCTTTTGATAATAAACCTGTTGTTACAGAAATACCATTTTTTTTTAAATATAAGATTCCTTTCCCAGAAACTTTAGGATTAGGGTCAATACTAGATATAACAACCCGATTGATACCAGCTTTAATAAGTGCATCACAACAAGGAGGAGTTTTTCCAAAATGATTGCATGGTTCTAGTGTAATATAAGCGGTTCCGCCTTTTGCTTTTTTATCAGCCATAATTAATGCATTAACTTCTGCATGATTTTTTCCTGATTGTTCATGCCATCCTTCTCCGACAATACTATTTTTTTGGACAATCACACATCCAACATTAGGATTAGGTGAAGTAGTAAATACTCCTAATTTGCTAATTTCTATTGCTCTTTTCATATAAAATATATCATTCATTTTTTAATCTACTATTATAAAATTTTTTTAATTAAAGTGATTAAAACCTTCTTTTTTAAAAAATATTTTTTTGTTGTTATAGAAAAAATTTAAACCTTCTTCAAGAGATGTGATCTCTCCTATACATGTACAACTTACTAAAAATTTTTTTATTTTTGAATTAAGTTTCTTGACATTTTTTTTTGACACAGTAAAACATAATTCATAATCTTCTCCTATACTTAGTGCCCAATTTAAGTAATAGTGACTTTTAAAATTTTCTTTTAAAATTTTAGAAATAGGTAATTTATTTAAATTAACATTAGCTCCACATTGACTGTTTTTCAATATATGATTTAAATCAGAAATCAATCCATCTGATATATCAATTGCTGCATTAGCAATTTTTTTGAGATATTTTCCTTCATAAATTCGAGGAATAGGATGTAGGTGTCTTTTAATTAAATAGTTTCGTATCTTTGAATTTTTTAAAGATATTTTTTTTTGTAGCAAAAATAGACCTGCGGCGCTTTCTCCAAGGGTTCCTGTTACATAAATTAAATCTCCTACATGAGCATTACTTCTTAGTAATGCATCTTTTTCTTCTATTAAACCATAAATGCTTAATGTTATACTTAAAGGACCACGATTAGTATCTCCACCGATTAATCTGATATTATATTCCTTTAAAACATCAAAAAAACTATTACTAAATTTTTTTAACCATATATTATTAATTTTAGGCATGGTTATAGATAATGTAGTCCATTTTGGATCAGCACCCATAGCAGCAAGATCACTAAGATTAACTGCAACGGTTTTATAGGCTAAATCTTTAGGTGTTATATTTTTAAAAAAATGAATGTCTTCAACTAGTGTATCAGTACTTATTGCAAGAACATTATTATTTGGTATTTTGATTAAAGCACTATCATCTCCAATTCCTTTTATCTCATTGAGATCTTTTTTTTGATTGCGTTGAAAATATTTAGAGATAATTTCAAATTCAGTATATTTCATAATTGAGAGTTAAATATTTAAGATAGATATTCAATAAAATACATTTAAAATTATAGTATTTTTTTTAAATATTTCATGACATTAATCATTTCTAATACAGCTAAAGCTGCTTCAGAACCTTTATTACCCATTTTTGTACCTGATCTTTCAATTGATTGCTCAATGCTGTTTGTGGTTAATATACCTAATGTAATAGGTATTAAATACTGAGTACTAATTTTTAAAAGATTACTAGTGGTATCACCAGCTATATATTTAAAATGATCAGTATCTCCTTTAATAATAGTACCGATTACAATAATAGCATCATATTTACCAGATTTGGCAATATAACTTGCTGCTACTGATATTTCGTATGTTCCAGGAACATATATTTGTAATATATTTTTTTCTTCCACTTGACCTATTCTTTTTAAAGTATCTAATGCTCCTAATAATAAATTTTTATTAATAAATTCATTAAATCGAGCAATGATAATTACAATAGATGCGTGTTTGGCTGTAATACCTGATTGAATTATATTCATTTTTTATATTGACTTAATAGTTAAATTTTTTTCAATTGTTTATTTTTTTAATATCCAAGCATGTCCGTAGTGATTATAAAAACCTGCTAATTTTCCTGCTTTTTCACCAATTCCTGTATACAAATCAAAATGTTGACCCTTAATTGCTCCACCTACATCTAATGCAATGACTAGACGCATCTCATATTTCTTAATAAATATACCATTTTTATCAAGTAAAGGGATTTGCAGTAATACGATAGTACCTTTTTTTATTATATTTGTATCAGCTGCGATTGATGTTTTAGCTACTAATGGAACAGAACTTGCACCATATACTTCTTTTCTTTGCGTTTCTTTAAAGAAAACAAAGGATGTGTTTTCTTCAAATAAATTTTTTATTTCTTTATTCGTGTGTTTTTTACACCAGTTTTTAATAGCTTGCATAGACATATTTTTTTTTTCTATTTCACCACGATTAATTAGAATTTGTCCAATACTTTTATAAGGCCATCCATTACTACCTGAGTAGCTAAAAAACTTTAATGGTTTGTTGTTTTCATAATCTATAAATGCACTTCCTTGAATTTCCATAATAAAATTATCTATCAAAGAATTAGTATAAGCTAAAATATATCTTTTATCTAAAATTCCATTATATATTTCTTTTCTTTTAGGTAAATATTGTTTTTTTTTAAAATTATAAGGCATTGAATATATTGGATAAATAAAATTTTTTTGTGGTGTTTTTCTAGCCTTTATTATAGGCGTATAATATCCACTTATTTTAACATTTCCATAGTTATCTGTACCTTTCATTTGAAATAAATTAATTCCAAATTTATAAAATTCATTTATATTAGAATTTTTTAACCATTTTTCAATTGAAGTGTAAATAGTTTTGTTTTTAAAATATAAACTGGGTGACGATTTTTTAATTTTATTTATTTGAAGAAACAATGATTCTGGATTAATTAATTTATTTTCAATATTTATTTTTTTTATTCTAGTCAGATTGTATATTAATTTTTTTTTATATTGCTGTCCTTTATTTGTAGGTTCATTCATACAAGCTACTGTAAATGTAAAAAACAAAGTTAAAAATATCATTACAACTATTTTTTTTTTCATTTTTATTTTTTAATATCTAACTATAGAATGATAGATTTTTTTATAATTTAGTTATTGTATCTGATTTTTAATAAAAATATTTAATTTATAAAAAAATTTGATTTTTTTAAAATAAAGGTGTATTATTTAATTACTACAGACGCGGGGTGGAGCAGCTTGGTAGCTCGTCGGGCTCATAACCCGAAGGTCGTTGGTTCAAATCCAGCCCCCGCAACCAATTATTAAATTTCTAATTTAATAAAAAATTAAATTTTATTTAACATCCCATCTTTTTCAAAAAAATTCCAAATTTTTATATAAAAAATTTTCATCCATTTTTTATTTTTTAATAAAATACAAATCATATATAAAAAATAATATATAGATTGCAGTAAAAATGCAAGAGGATTGTTATGAAAGAACGTACTACTGAATTAGTTCAGGGTTTTCGTCACAGCGTTCCTTATATTAATGCTCATCGGGGGAAAACATTTATAATAATGTTAGGTGGCGAAGCAATTAAATATGGAAATTTTTCTGGTATTATTAATGATATAGGATTATTGCATAGTTTAGGTATTCGTTTAGTTGTTGTATATGGATCTTGTCCTCAAATTAACGCAAGCTTAAATGAAAAAAATATTAAAATTATGTATCATAAATACACACGAATTACTGATTCAGCGTCTTTAGAACAAGTAAAGCAAGCAGCAGGAAGATTGCAACTTGATATTACAGCACGTTTGTCAATGAGCTTAAGTAATACTCCTCTACAAGGAGCTAATATAAATGTAGTTAGTGGTAATTTTATTATTGCTCAACCTTTGGGCGTAGATGATGGTATTGATTATTGTCATACTGGTCGAATTAGAAGAATTGATAAAAGTGCAATTGATTGTCAATTGAAAAATGGAGCTATAGTTTTAATTGGTCCGGTAGCAGTTTCTGTCACAGGAGAAAGTTTTAATTTAACTTCTGAAGAAATAGCTACTCAAGTCAGTATTAAATTAAAAGCAGAAAAAATGATCGGTTTTTGCAGTAAGCAAGGAGTTATAGATAATGAAGGTAAAATTATTTCTGAGTTACTTCCTGATGATATAAAACATAAAATTAGTAAATTAGAAGAAAAAGGTGACTATATTTCTTCAACTGTACGATTTTTAAGAGGAGCAATAAAAGCTTGTAAAAAAGGAGTAAATCGGAGTCATTTAATTAGCTATCATAAAAATGGAGCATTATTGCAAGAATTATTTTCTCGTGATGGTATTGGTACACAAATGGTTATGGAATCAGCAGAAAAAATAAGACGAGCTAGCATTAATGATATTGGAGGAATATTAGAATTAATTCGACCTTTAGAAAAAAAAGGAATTTTAGTTCGTAGATCAAGAGAACAATTAGAAGTAGAAGTAGATAAATTTACTATTATTGAACGTGATAACTTGACTATTGCCTGTGCTGCACTCTATCCTTTTGTAAAAGAAAAAATAGGAGAAATGGCTTGTGTAGCCGTTCATCCTGATTATCGAAATTCTTCTAGAGGCGATTTATTATTAAAAAAAATAAAAATTCATGCGCGAGAAATAAATTTAAAAAAAATTTTTGTATTAACAACAAAAAGTATCCATTGGTTTCAAGAGAGAGGTTTTGTTTTAGTAGATGTGGATATGTTACCTGAAAGTAAAAAGAAAATGTATAATTATCAACGTCGTTCTAAAATTTTAATGATTGATATATTTTAATATATGGCATGCTTTAGTGAGCATCGTAAAATTTTTATATATTATTCTAAAAAGTTGTTCATTTCTATAAAATTATTCTTTTTTATATTTTTCAAAGCTGTTTTTATAAAAATTTTTTTGTTTGAAAAAATATTTAATATATTTCGAGATCTTGTGATACCAGTATATAAAACATCTTTATTTAAAATATTTGAATCAACATTAGGTAATATTAAAGACGTATTCATAAATTCAGAACCTTGTGCTTTATGTACAGTAATAACCCAAGCTGTTTCATAATTTCTTAAGATATTTATAGGAATATTTATAATATTTTTTTCTTTTAAAAAAGATACTTGTAAGACACCCTTATTACTCATATTAGTAATACCTATATTGCCATTAAATACATCTAGAAGTTGATTATTAGAATTAATCATAATAGGTTTTCCTACATACCATATTTTATTATTAATATAAAAATATTTGATCATGTCTTTTTTATACATTTCTTCTTCTATTTTTTTATTTAATATATTTGCACCGAAGATACCATCGCGTAATACACATAATACTTGATGATATTGAAAAGTTTCTATGATGTTTTGAATTTTTTCTTTTTTATATATTTTTTCCCAAAACTTTTTATAATTTAAAGAAATATTCTCAATCATTTTTTGATAATTTTCCATAGAATTTATTTCATAAAAAAAAACGTTTTGAATGCTATTATTAAATAGTTCTTCAAAAATATTTATTTTTTTATTAGATATTGCATTTGATAAAATATAAATTCCTGAATTTTTTTTAAATCTATAATTTTTTTTTAATATACAAATATTATTATTAATAGAGTTGATTTTATTTTCATTTATTTTATTTGCTATTTTATAGTTTGTCAGTTTTTCTAGATTTAATAAAGTTTTATAGTTGTATCCGTTATTAGAGTAACGAGCAATACTTTTTAAAATAGAACCTGCATCTATTGGACATAATTGATTATGATCTCCTATAAAAATTAATTTAGTATTTTTAGATACTGCATCAAATATTTTTTCTATCATTAAAATATCTATCATTGAAGTTTCATCAATAATTAATACGTCTAAATTTAATCGATTGTTTTTATTGAAAAAACTTTTTTGTGATATTTTTTGAAATCCTAATAATTGATGTATTGTTATAGCAGAGCATGGAAGATAAGTTTTTTCTTTTTGAGAAAGATAAATATCAAAAATATTATTTTCTATAATTTCGTTTAAACGTGTTGTTGCTTTTCCAGTAGGAGCAGATAATTGAATTTTTATTGATTTCTTTGCTGTTTTTATTAGAGCAATAATTATTTTTAATATAGTAGTAGTTTTTCCAGTTCCAGGTCCGCCAATAATAAAAGTTATATTTTTTATTAAAGTTAGTGCTACCGCTATTTTTTGAGTGTTTTTAAATTTTTCAGGGAATAAATTATCTAATATTTTAGAAAATTTTTTATTATTCACTTTTTTATTTTTATTTTTTTCATTTAAAAATTTTAAAATGTTTATTTCAGATTTCCACATTTTATAAAGATATATTTTTTTTTTAAATAATACTAAAGGTGTAGAATCAGAACCGTTACTAACAGAGTTGTGTTGTAATAATTCTTCTAACCAATTTATTTTTTTTTCTAATATATTTAAAATTTTTTGTATAAATTTTGTATTTGTAGTAGAAAAAAAATGATTTTTTTCAAAATATTCTATTGGTAAAAAAATATGACCATTTTTATTTTCATAGCTCACACATGCTGCAACTAACATTAAAATAGTGTTTTTTTTTGATATAAATTGTGAAAAATAAAAATCAATAGGACGAATAATTTTCATGATCACAGCTTTTTTTAAAAGTGAAGTCATTATGTTCATTTTTTATTAATCTTCTATAACATTAAATTAATCAGTTGTTGTATTAAAGAATAATTTGGAATAGTATAAAAAATACCATTATTTTTTTCATTACTTATGGCACGTAAAAAAATATAAAAAACACCTCCAAAGTTTTTTGTATAATTATAATTTTTTATTTTTTTTTGCAAAAATTGATGTATAGCGATAGTGTATAATTGATATTGCACATCATATCTATTTTTAATCATTTCTTTTTCTATCAATTCTTTAGAATAAAAACTATTATCTTGCCCTAACCAGTTAGATTTATAATCTACTATGTAATATTTATTATCCCAATGAAATACTAAATCAATAGATCCTTTTAAAATTCCTGTAACAGGATTAAAAAAAAATTGAGGAGAACAAGTAGATAAAAAATCAAAAGATTGAATAATCTTGTTAAATTTTTCACTGTATAAAATGTTTTTAATAGGTAAAAAAAATTCAAATTCTTTTACATATGTTTGTTTTTTTAATTGAGATAGAATAATTTTATTATCATTAAATGAAGTGTTTAAAATATCATATGTCCAAGACATCAGTGTAGGAGTCCATTTTATAGGAATATTATATTTTTCTAGAACATCAGAAAACCAATAATAATTTTTTTGATTTATTACATTTATATTTTTTAATATATAATGCATTAATAAACCTGTTTTTTTCCCTAAAGGAAAAGTATGTAGCGTTAATTTTTTTTTTATTTTATCTTTTTTAAAAATATTTTCTAATATAATTTCTTTTTTATTATGTATCAATAATTTATTTTCTTTTTTTAATTGAGTAAAGCTTGTGATATTCCAAATATTTTTAATTTCTTGTTTAGATAAATTAAATTCAGATAGCCAATAAATATTTTTTTTACTTATAGAGAATTCTGATTTTATTGTATCATGTTTAATTTCTATCAAATTATTATCACTTAATTTATTTAATTTTATAGATAAATTGTTACAATCCATCATTTCGCCATCTTGTATAAGATATCCTAATGCACTATGATGAAGATCACTATTTTTTCTATTTTTTATCTTTTTTTTTATTAAACAAGATATTCCAAGACTACAGTGAAGAATTGATCTTGTTAGTGCGACATATAAAAAACGCAAATCTTCTCCTAATCTTTCTTCATCTGACATCATTAAACTTTTTTGACTTTTTTCTGAGTCAAGAAATATTTTAAAAGTTTTTTGATCATGATATATTGAATTTTTTGATTGATTAAAATCAATCCCAAAAGGGAGCCAAACAATAGGATATTCTAATCCCTTTGCTTTGTGTATAGTAATAATTTTAACTGCTTGTGATTCATCTAAATATCTAATATATTCATTACATAAAGGTTGTTTTTTTTCTAGTATTTTTTTTTCAAACCAACAAACTAAAGATTTTTTTTTATGCAAAAATTGAAATTTTTCTTGTAATAATTCCCCTATTTGTAAAAAATTAAAATTTTTTTGAGAATTTAGATATGTTTCTGAAAAATTAAAATTTTTTTGAGAATCTAATATTATTTTTCTTATCATTTGAAAAATACTTATTTTGTCCCAAATGTCATGATATTGATATAATTTTTCTATGATAAAATA